TATGAACATAAGAGTGCATACTTTCTTTCTGATTGGTGTTTCTGATTTCTCAGGATATATTCCTAGAAGTGGGATCACTGGATCAAATGTCAGTTTCATATTTAATTTTTTGAAGAAACTCCATACTGTTCTCCACAGTGGCTGCACCAGTCTGTACTCCAACCAGCAGTGCACTAGGGTTCCCTTTTCTCCACATTCTGACAGGTGTGAGGTGATATCTCATTGTTGTTTGAATTTGCATCTCTCTGATGATCAGTGACTTTGAGCATTTTTCATATGTCTCTTGGTCTGTATGTCCACCTTGGAGAAGTGCCTATTAAGGTTCTTTGCTCATCTTTTAATTGGATTGTTTGTCTTCCTTTTGTTAAGTTGTATGAGTTCCTTATATATTTTGGATATTAACCCTTTATCAGATGTATCATTGCCAAATATGTTCTCCCACACAATGGGTGCCCTTTTCGTTTTGTTGGTTTCGTTTGCTGTGCAGAAGCCTTTTATTTTGATGTGGTCCCATTTGCTTATTTTTTCCTTAGTTTCCTTTGCCTTTGGAGATGTACCTGTAAACATATTGCTACAAGAGATGTCTGAGATTTTGGTGCCTATGGTTTCTTCTAGGATTTTTATGGTTTCATGACTTAAATTTAAGTGTTTTATCCACTTTGAGTTTATTCTTGTGTATGGTGTAAGTTGCTGGCCTAGTTTCACTTCTTTGCATGTATCTGTCCAATTTTCCCAACACCATTTATTGAAAAGACTGCCTTGATTCCATTGTATGCTCTTGCCTCCTTCGTCAAATATTAATTGAGTATAATGGCTTGGATGGATTTCTGGGGTCTCTGTACTGTTCCATTGATCTACATGCCTATTCTTGTGCCACTACTATTTTGGGCTGATGGGGGAGCCAGCTGGCTGGGGGTAGAAGCCACGGGATGTTGGCCGACTAGTGGGAGGGGCCGTGGGAGGCTGCCGGCCGACTGGGGGAAGTGGCTGTGGGAGCTTGGCTGTGGGAGCGCACTGACAACCAGGGGGCAGCTCCTGCATTGATCGTCTGGCCCCTGGTGGTCAGTGTGCATCATAGCAACTGTTGATCAGTTGTTCTGGTCGTTCCGGTCATTCGGTCGTAATGGTCGCTTAGGCTTACATATATAGACTAGGGGCCCAGTGCATGAAATTCATGCACTTGGGGAGGGGCAACCCTAAGTCCAGCCTATGCTCTCTCGCAGTCCGGGAGCCCTCAGGGGATGTCCGTCAGTCGGACATCCTTAGCACTGCCACAGAGGCAGGAAAGGCTCCCACCACTGCCACTGCGCTGACCACCAGGGAACAACTCCTGCATTGAGCGTCTGCCCCCTGGTGGTTAGTGTGCATCATGGCAACCAGTTGTTCCACCATTTGGTTGATTTGCATATTAGCCTTTTATTATATAGGATGAATGGGTTACCAATGAGAACAAGAAAGAAATAAAAAATCTCTTGGAAACAAATGAAAATGAACACACAACAACCCAGAATCTCTGGGACACAGCTAAAGCAGTCTTCATAGCACTAGAAGCCTGCCTAAAAAAACAAAAAAAGCCCCCGCACACACAAGAAAAATTAATAATAAACTATTTATCCTTACAACTTAAAGAATTAGAAAGAGAACAACAAGAAAAACTCAGAGTAAGCGGAAGGAAATACTAAAGATTAGAGCAAAAATAAATGATATAGAGACTAAGAAAAAATATATAAAATCAACAACCTGAACAATGTGGATGAAATGGACAAATTCCTAGAAAAATACAATCTCCCAAAACTGAATCAGCAGGAATCAGTAAACCTGAATAGGCCAATAACAACCAATGAAATAAAAGCAGTAATAAAAAAACCTCCAGCAAACTAAAGCCCTGGTCTGGATGGCTTCTCTGGGGAGTTTTACCAAACATTCAAAGAAGAACTAACACCTATACTCCTCAAAATATTCCAAAAACCCAAGAGGAAGGAACACTTCCAAGCTCTTTTTTAAAAAAATACATTTCTTATTAATATTAGAGAGGAAGGAAGGGGAGAGGGAGATAAAAACATCAATGATGAGAGAGAATCATTGATTGGCTGCCTCCTGCACACCCCACACTGGGGACTGAGCCCTCAACCTGTATGCCTAGGTTTCTCTCTCTCTCTCTCTCTCTCTCTCTCTCTCTCTCTCTCTCTCTCTCTCTCTCTCTCTCTCTCTCTCTCTTTCTTTTCCTCATTACATTAGTCTCTATCATTTCTGGTAGTGCTGGTTTGGTAGTGATAAACTCCTTTAGCTGTTTTGTTTTGGGTTTTTTTGGTCTGGGAAGCTCTTTATTTCACCATTTATTTTGAATGATAGCCTTGCTAGATACAGTAAGCTCAGTTGCTTTTCATTACCTTGAATATTCCATGCCATTCCCTATATTGAATATTCCATGCCAGAGTGTCTGATGAGAAACAGCTGACAGCCTTATGGGAGCTCCTTTGTAGGTAAAAGTTTGCTTTTCTCTTGGTGTCTTTAAAGATTCTCTCTTTGTCTTTAATTTTTGGCATTTTAATTATGATGTGTCTGTACATGGGCCTGTTTGTGTTCTTCTTGCTTGGGACTCTCTGTGCTTCCTTAACCAGTGTGACTTTTCTTTCACCATATTGGAGAAGTTTTCTGCCATTATTTCTTCAAACACATTCTCTATCCTATGCAAACTTTCTTCTCCTTCTAGCACACCTATTATGTGACTTGTTAAGTTTCATGTTGTTCCAAAGTTCCCTTAAGCTCTCCTCCTGTTTTTTAATTGTTTTTTTTTTTCCTTTTTGGTTCTCTGATTGAGTGAATTTTTCTACCCTGTCTTCTGATTCACTGATCTGATCCTTGGCTTGCCCTAATCTGCTGTGTATTTCCTTCCACTATGTTCTTTATTAGTGCTATATTATTCTTCATAGTTACTATATCTTTTCTCATGTGGTTGAGCATCTTTGCCATCATTATTCTGAGCTCTATGTCTGATAAAGTTCTTATCACTATTTCATTTAGCTCTTCTTCTGGAGAATTTTCTTGTTCTTTCATTTGTTTTGTTTGTTTGTTTTTTGTTTTGTTTTGTTTTTTGCTCTCCATTTTGGCTCCCTGTATTAGGTGGATCTGCCATGCCTCCAATCTCTTGTGCAGGAGAGTGTCAAATGATGTTTCTGACTAATTAGGTCAGGCAAAGACCCACCTCTGCCTGCAGACTGATTGGATTCAGTCATTACTAGCCTGAGACAATGATCCACAGGTGGGGTGAGAAGTTTTCCAATAGGGTGGAGCAATTGCTTCTTCCTGGAGGCTAATTGTTATTCTCAATCTTTTAATGGGCCTCAGAAACTCAACAGGGTGGGGCAAGAGGTTTTCTAATAGGGTGGGGCTACAGTCTTCCTCACAGGCAAAAAATGCCTGGATAGCAAAGATCTACCTAAGAAAGTTGCCCTCCGCAGCATAAGGGAATGACTCAGCACAGGAAACCAGGGTGCCTGCCTTCTGAGGTCTAACCCCAGAGCCTCCAACCCTGGCTTTTGTTCACAAAGCTCCAGTTCACTCTGCCCTCCCTCTGCTGGAGCACAAGGTGAGTGGCTGCATACAGAATTGGCCCTTTAAGAGGGTGACTGCATTTTCAGCAGTCAGCCATACAGCCACCCTGCTGTTTTTCATAGCCATGTGAAAAATATGTGGGCACCTTTGTCAGTTCTGATGGTCTCTTCTGGGGGGCACAGCTTGAGAATTCGACCCCAGAGTTCTCAGTGGCAACCCCCCACACCTGAGATATGTCTCTGGAACTTCAGCTGCTGTCTGTGGGAGCCTGGCCAGCTCTTTTGTGCCTCTGCCCTTCCTACCAGTCTGTATGCAGTGTCCACTTTCTGTCCTTGGTTATCAGGGTTCTATATCCATCTAGCCTTCATTTGATTGTTCAGAATGATAATTTTTTTGTATTTATTTTAGTTGTAATTACAGTTTGGTCCAGGGAGCATGTCTGTGTAGCATCCTCATTTCCTTTTTAAAAATCCAATGTTAAGCTAAATGCTACTTAAACACATGTTTAACCTTAATGGTACTGACCACTTGTGGCAGGAAGGAGAGAAAGCCAAGTATTCTTGCCCACCAATTAGACCTAACACAAGTGTCAGAAGCGAGATCCGACAGTGGCTTCAACAGCCAACAAGATGTAGCCTCATTCTTGCTTGGCCTGATTTTGTGACTGACCAGCAGACAAGTTTCTCCAACACCTCTTTCAGAATATGAAGCATCTCAAAGCTTTCTGAACCTGTCCCACTGGCCTGTCAATCAGGTTGGTCTGTGATCTTCCTGAATCCTATGAACATTTCAAGGAAAACGCAAAGAATATGTAAGCTGAATTATGGTCCTCCCATGGGCTTCCTGAAGCACTGAGGTGTCTGAAAGCTACATATAGTTCTGGGAAAAGACTCTTTTAAGAAATGTAGCACAGCCTTAGCTGGTTTGGCTCAGTGAATAGAGCATTGGCCTGTGGACTGAAGGGTCCCAGGTTGGATTCCAGTCAAGGGCACATACCTCAGTTACAGGCTCCTAGCCCTGGTCATGGGCAAGGGGGTGGCAACCAACTGATGTGTTTGGTGTTTCTCTCTGTCTCTCCTTCTCCCTTCCATTCTCTCTGAAAATTAATGGGAAAAATATCCTCAGATGAAGAAGGAAGGAAGGAAGGAAGGAAGGAAGGAAGGAAGGAAGGAAGGAAGGAAGGAAGGAAGGAAGGAAGAAAGAAAGAAAGAAAGAAAGAAAGAAAGAAAGAAAGAAAGAAAGAAAGAAAGAAAGAAAGAAAGAAAGAAAAGACACAAGAAATTCTTAAAGAGGTCCTTGCTGAGATGGTAACACTTATTGTGAAAGCACCACTTCTGATCAACAGGGGACCTATCTGAGCCCCAGCAGGTGTCAATGTTTTACAGCAGGTGACAGGACGTAGACAGTGCTTCCACTATCCGGGAATAAGTCCAGGGCGCAGCGTACACATTTCACAGCTCTTTATTGAGATTCAGGAAGAGTCTGGGGCGTGGTCACTGTCCCAGGTTGCCCAGGCCTTCCGCTGCATGGGTGATAGCATTTGTGACTGTGTGGGTGACAGTCTCAGTGACTTCCTTTACCACGTTGCCCCCTGTCTCCTGGGCCTTCTTGAAGGCTTCGGCAATGGCTGTCAGCAAGAAGGAGGAACAATGTCTGGGTAAGCAAAGTAAACATTCGAGCCACTTGCTGGGCTGTGTTCCCTGCAGTGGCCTGTGGGATGTGGCTGTCTTCCTGGGCCATGCCCTGGAGGATCCCCAATGAGGTGGAGGGCAACAGAGCTCCTGAGGAATGTGTGCAAATTTTGTTTTATTTCCCCAAACAGCTTGCATTTCTGACTTCAGTTGTAAGACTGAACACCTGCTCACAGGGTGGCTGCCTGCTCACATGCCTTTTCCTATGAACTACCGCTGTATCTCCTGGCCATTTCTATGTTGGGTTATCGTTTCCACTACAAATATTTCCCCTCAGCTTGTGGTTTTTCTTGGGCTTAGAGTATAATTTTTTTATTATGGAAAATTTGAAGTATTGTCAGATTTATCTAACATTTTCTCTATTGTTGTTGGGTTTTCTGTCATAGTTTTTTTAAAAAAAAAAGACCCTCCTCACTCTGAGATTATGCTAAAATCTCCTATGCACTCCTCTAACAATTTAATCATTTCATGTATTTGTATTTAAGTCTTTGATTCACTTGGAATTTATTTTGTTGTAAGGAATGAGGTGTACTTATACTTTTTACATAGTTATACTCACAGTACACATACACATACAAACATTTATGTAAATATCCTATATAATAAAGAGCCAATATGCAAATGGTCATCATGCCCTCATGCCATCACGCTGTAAAGGCTCAGACACTCAACACTGGGGAGAAAAGAATGGGGACCAGCCAGGCACAAATGAGCTCGCGAGAGAGAAATGGGGACCAGCCAGGTTGTGGCCCAGGAGACGGACAAGCTGCATGCCCCACAGGCCCCAGCGCCTGCGGCTGCACCTGTCGCCCAGGAGAGGGACAAGCCTCCCAACCCACAGCCTCAGGCACCTGCAGCTGCGGCCTGAGCGAAGCCACCCACCCACGGTCCCCTGCGGCTGCGGCCAGCCTGGGTGAAGCTGGCCCAGGTCCTGGGTGCCTGCGGCCAGCCAGAGGGAGGGAAGCCCGGGTCCCAAGTGCCTGCAACCGGCCAGAGGAGTGAATCCTGGGTCCCGGGTGCGGGGCAATGTAGAGGTGGTTAGGGGCAATCAGGCCAGCAGGGGAGCAGTTAGGGGTGATCAGGCAGTAGGCAGAGGTGGTTAGGCGTGATCAGGCAGGTAGAGGTGGTTAAGGGCGATCAGGAAGGCAGGCAGAGGAGTTAGGGGAGATCAGGGAGGCAAGTGGTTAGGAGCCAGTGGTCCTGGATTGCAAGAGGCAGTCGGACATCCCTCGAGGGGTCCTGGATTGGAGAGGGTGCAGGCTGGACTAAGGGCCCCCCGCCCCACCCAAATTTCGTGCACTGGGCCTCTAGTGTATTTATGTAAGTGTATAATTTTATGTCTTGAATGCCTTGTCCCAGCAAGCTGCCGCACTGCCTTTTGTGAAATAGTCTCAACGTTCCACAGAGAGGCCTGTCAGGCTGGGTCCTGCCTTAGTAAAGTTGGCTCTGTGGCCTCAGATGGTGTGATAATTGCATACCATCCGAAAGGGTGCAGCATCTGGGTCAGGGTTTGACCTGCGTAGTCAGAAAGCAGGCTGCTCCCAGCCCCTCACTTCCCTTCTCCCCTCCTTCCCAGCCCCCACCATACCTTTCTCTCCAGCCTCCTTGGCATGCTCCACCACCTCCTTCACTACCCCCTCCACGGCATGAACTGAAAAGGTAAGACAAACCCAGAGTGAGAGCCCGCGCTAGGCAGCTCCTCCTCCCTGCAGGGCTCAGGCAGCTCTGGGTGCTGCCCAGCCAGGACCAGCTGGCTCAAGGGAAGGACCCTCAGCTTGCTTCTTGAGGAGGATGTTGGGGGCAGAGTCTGGCTACTGAGAGAGAAGCTGAGTTTGGCAGACAAGAGCACAGAACCCTTCATGCCCCTCAGCCTGGTGCAGCCTGGAATGCCAACGAGCAGGCCCTCCTGCCAGCCAGGAACTGGTGCCAAGGCTGAGCCGGTTTCCCAGGTTAACACCCCTCTCAGGTGTGCTGCTACCCTGCCTCAAACCAGACGGAGACATGGAGCCGGCAGCCAATGCCAAGTCCAGCGCCTCCTCCAGCAAAACCAGTTCCCCACAGCCGTTCCTCCAGTAGGAGGGGACTGTGCCACCTTGGAGTTGGTTGAGTGTGAGTGCTAGCCTGCTGGGACCGGAGGAACTGGAGTCAAAGGAACTGGCCCTGATCTTAACCGCCCCCCCACTGCCTGGTTCCTTGTCTGTGAATGGGAGGCATAGGAGTGCAGAGGGTCGGCGGAAAAAGGCCACTCAACACCCGCACAGAGTTAACCAATGAAATAGGGACACATCTGCTGCCATTTAGAAAGAGAACAGCAAACTTAAATGCCAGCTGGTGGGCCTGGATCCCCTCCCCAGCAGAGCTGCTGACGTCTACATGCATAAAGGGCTTCCAGGGCCCAAAACATTGAAAATGTCCTTTGTGTAAACCCCAGGGCAGACTGAACAGAGTCAGACTCAGTGGCTTCTTCTTCTTCTTCTTTTAATTTCAGAGAGGAAGGGAGAAAGAGAGAGTTAGAACATCAATGATGAGAGAGAATCACTGATCGGCTGCCTCCTACACGCTCCACACTGGGGATCAACCCCACAACCCAGGCATGTGCCCTGACAGGGAATTGAACCACAACCTCCTGGTTCGTAGGTGGGCAATGTGGTTTCTCAATAGAGAACTCTTTGCAGCCTTAATGTTATGGTAAAAATAACACCTCCTTCCTTTGCCTGTATGGGATATTCAAATTAGGCTGTTGGGATGGGAAGGCTCCCAGGTTTCCAGAGGGAAGTGTCCAAGCTACCAGCTGCTCATCCAGCACCTGGGCTCCCCTCCATCCCCACCCCCACCCTACCAGGGGCTTCCTCTGAGGTGGTCTCCCTCCTGGCCTCACCCCAAACAGCCCTCCTCAGCTTCTGCACCCTCCTCCCATCCTATCCTTATGGGTCTGATTGCCCAGAGCTCCTCATGGGATCAAGGCCTGTCCCCAAGCTGCGGGGATCAGCTTCAAAGAGGCCCAGGCAAGAGGGTCCCCAGCCCCGTGCCTAAGCCCCAGGTCCTTACCGGCTTCCTCGGTGGCCTTCTCAGTGCGGTGGGCCAAGCCCTCAGCAGCAAGCTTCCCCAGGCCTCCCAGCATGGCGCAGCGACCGTGACGACCAAGGAAGATGCTGGGGCCCAGGCCAGCGTGCTTTTATAGCCACTCTGGCGGTGGCTGCACTCTGGGGCACCAGCCCTCACCCGGGCAGCTAGGAGGTCAGCTGTGAGTCAGCGCAGGCGTTGGCAGGAGGAAAAGGCTGGGCGGGGCCACCCTCATACTCTGGCTGTGGCACTGCCCCTCTGGAAGCATGAGACCCCGTGCCCTGCATTCTGGGACCCTGTGGGGTCACGGACAGGGAGCAGGGCCAAGGCCAGACAAGGTCAGCCTGGGGCTCGCGGCTCCTCCCCGGCAGAGGCCCGAGTGTCTGTGGAGGAAGAGACATGGGCAGCAGCCCTGGCCTCGTCCGCTTCCAGCTCTCCGCAGCCCGGCTCAGGGGGCAGCTAGACAAACCGCGGCTCCAGCCTGCTGCTCAGGGTCTCTGTGTGGCCTAGCCAGGGGCTCGGGATTCCATGGGCCTGGGGACCGGGGTGACCCCTTAGGCCAAGAACACAAGCGGAGTGGAGGCCACTGCCTTCCCACACACAGAGCCCAACTCCTCAGCGTGGCTCTCAGCCTCCCTGGGGCAGGTGGGGGCTCCCGGGGTGCCTTTCAAGCAGAGGAGGGCGCATCAAGGCAGGCCTGCCAGTGGTCAGCGGGCCCGCTCTCTCAGGGACCTGAGTGCCCAGCACGGGGCAGTCAGCAGCTGCGGGAAGCAGCCCTCCCTGCACCTCGGGGCCTGGTCTCTCGGGAAGGCCCTGTGAGGGCAGCAGTGCCCCCCAGGAGGTCCCAGAGGAGAAATGGGGACACCACACCCCCACCAGGAGCTTCAGGCCCTGGCAAGAACCCCCAGGAAGCCGCCCCACCAGCCCCGGATGAGTCAGTCACAGGCTTAGGGGCCAGGCTGCCGCCCCAGTTACTCAGGATGGGAGAGATGCCTCAAGCCTGTGCCACGTGCTCCTTCTCTTAGTCAATAGCCCCACCCGAGCCTCAGTTTCCTCATCCATAAAATAGGGACAGCATGCCTTCCTGGCCATGTCACCAATAGTTGTTGAGATGATGTGTGCAAGCTCCTGGTAAACTCCTGTTCCTCCCCGTCAGCACGGCTGTGCCAGGAGGGGCTCCTTGGCAGCGAGCCTGACCCACCAGTGGGCGGGCCAAAGAGTGAGGGTGTGAGGCTGCCTGTAAGCCACGGGCTGGGGGTCTCCACCCCTGGGCAGGAGTCATGGAGGGAAGGTCCTTCAGTGCAGGCCTGGGGCGGGATTCTGAGGCTGCATCCCCCATGGGTGTTCCCTCGTCCCTCGGAGCTGCCCTGGCCAGGCCTTCCCAGCCCGGGTCCCCAGCGCCGCCCTCCCACATTCCCGCATGGTCCTGGGTGGCCCCCAGGCTGTGGCCAGCCCTGGCAGCAGTGGCACTGTGAGCGGCAGGGACTCCGGGCCACAGGTGGCGTCTCCATTGGCAGGAGTGGCTGGCCTTACTGGGACGACGTCTTCTTAAGAAAAGAACATAACACTGCTGCTCCTGCGAGTTCCACAAATATGCAGGCTGGGGCCAAAGCAGGGTTCCAGTTATTCATGTGGAAAATAATACGTTAAATACTAACACAAGAATAGACCCTCGTACTCACAACTGTAACCGGACTTTCGCCCACCATGTATGTGATGACCCTGAGGACTGGAGGGGCCGGGAGTGCGAGGGCCTTGGAGCACAAGCAGGTCCCACAACTCTGTTCTCGCCTCGTTACAGCCAAACACCAGAATGTTCTGTTCAGGGCAGCCAGGCAATGCGCCACGGGTGGGGGACTTCTGGGACAAGACTGGTGGGAATTGGGCTGAGAGACCCAGAGGGACATTCCCTGGGCCCATCAGAGCCCCTTTCCTCTTTGCTCTGAGGTTGTCTGTGTCCCCCACCCTGCAGGCTCTTCTTTGTGCCCTTTCCCTCCAGGCCCCACCCTGAGATACGCTTAACAGTCCCCTCTCCTCAGGAGCTCGCCGGCTCCTCCATGGGCCCTTGTCAGGACTCGGCCACTCAGCAGAACTGAGCCCATGCCAGCCAGAGCCCGCACCACTATAGCCTGCAGGCCGCTGCTGCCCTCACCACATCAGTCCTCTCCCCGGAGAGCCTGCTCCCCCTTAATGCACCATCCTGGTGTGAGCACCGCACTCCAGTCCCTGCTCCCCCTTAACGCACCGTCCTGGTGTGAGCACCGCACTCCAGTCCCTGCTCCCCCTTAACGCACCGTCCTGGTGTGAGCACCGCACTCCAGTCCCTGCTCCCCCTTAACGCACCGTCCTGGTGTGAGCACCGCACTCCAGGCCCTGCTCCTTGTTAATGCACCATCCTGGTGTGAGCACCGCACTCCAGTTCCAACACACCATTGCCTGCTCGCTGCTCTTTAGCTGGGAAGAGTCTACCCTCAGGGAGCCATGGGCTGGGCTCACAGGATAGGTCGTTGGTCTCAGCTGGAGCTGAGGCCAAGTGGGCTTGCACCTGGGCCAGAGCAACAAGGCCTGCATTCTGGGACCCTGTGAGGCCAGGGAGAGGGAGCAGGGCCAAGGCCAGACAAGGTCATTCTGTGCAGCTTGCCTCTCGAGAATTCTTACTTTCTCCCTGTTGGCATTTGGGATTTGTTTGGACCCAGCCTTGCCCAGAGATCTAGGGCCATGGTGTGTTGGAACTGGAGTGCGGTGCTCACACCAGGACGGTGCGTTAAGGGGGAGCAGGGACTGGAGTGCGGTGCTAGACCCTGCTGACCAGGGCTGGATTCCTGGTAACTCCCACAAGGAATAACATTACCCTCTCGGACACCTAAAATTAACACAAAGTAAAACTGAATGTAAAGTAATTGAAATATAAAATTAAAAAGAAACATTATCTGCCTGGATGAGGTTGAGGATGACTCAGGAGGAAACCAACCGCCCTACCTTGAAAGGGGCCTGGCCCACTGGCCTGCAGGACCCCTGTGAAGAAACCCTTGAACACAGTCCTGAGTCAGAAGGTCAAGTCCAGCCCTGGGGCAGGGAGAATCAGGCATGGGCAGGAGCTAACTAATTCTCCGTGTGGAATTTGCTCAAAAACCCTTTGGCAAAAGACCAGTTGCCTGCATCCACTCAAGGAGAGCCAATTTTTCAAATAGCAATTTACCAACTTAGCAATTAGCAATTCGGGGGGGAACTGTTTTAAGTGCTTAAATACTTGGGGCCGTCTTATGTCCAAAGCATGACGATTTCTTGTGTGATTCAAACTGGAGATGTCATGGATGTCCTGTGTCATGATTGTCCATCCTGCCTACGCTTCTCCGACTTCTGCTTCATGCATTTGAGCTCACAGTATATTACAAGCCCACATCTCGTGCACACACTGACCCCTCCCAGTCACTGGGGAGCCCAGCCCAGACCCAGGAGACGGTGTGTCAGTCACCAAAGAAGGACTTCCCCAGCATGGCAGTACCCACACACCCATGGATGTCAGTCAGGTTCCTGGTGAAAATCAGAGGGCGCATCACAGGCGCCTGAGGAGAGGAACTGTTCACATCGGTGGACAGACTTAAGGGAAGGGCTGTGGGATGGAGAGGTGCCAGAGCCCAGCAGTAGCGGGAGTCATCACCTCCCTGGACCTGGACGGGCAGGGGAGGGGCTGCACAGACCCTAAGGCGAGCGGTGCCTGCAGGAGAGGTCACAGGACAGGAACTGCAGCCCTCGGCACAGAGCACTGCTACCATCACACCCTGTCCAGCAAGGAGGGAGCAGGCTGTGCATCCCTCTCCCCTCTCTCCTACTGCTATTTCCCCATTAGCCGAATCAGCTGAGGCTGAGGCTGAGGGAGCCTGGGCAATGCAGTTCAAGAGGGAATGTTCCCGGGGCTCAACCACTGAGCCACACTGCCGGCCATCAGTGGATCCTATGTGCAATGATTATTTCTGTGGTGTTTGCCTAGTGGTGATTGACTATTTCCCATTTCTTCTACATTAATAAATTAATTAGAATTCTGCAGTAAAAGTTGCCCATTCTACACATTCATTTAATCCATTAGTTACTCATATCAGTATGGATTCATGAATAGAATATTCATCTTATTCTATAGGTTAAAACCCAATAATATCATTATTTATTTGTGACTCAAATCAATCCAGCTTGAGCCATTAGAAACTCCTTCAGTTTGGCTCTGGTGTTCTTTCAATAACTCCCCATCTTTGCTGTCTGTCTGTCTCTCTGTCTATCTATCTAATCTGTTTTAGCATTGCCTTTCTTTCTGGCACTACAAAGATGTTCCAGGCTAATCCTGTATTTTCCCCACTCCAGCCCTACAGTCAACTACTTCTCCTTGGAGCTCTGGTTCCTTTTATTAGAGAATGGTATTAGAGATCAAGATTTGGGTGAGAGGTATGCTCATTGCTACTGGGATATCATTGCTCCTAGGAACTTCCAGCAGATCTAGGAAATTATATATATACTAACCCTTTCATATATATATATATATATATATATATATATATATATATATATATTTGTATCGATCGGTATTTATAATTAAAAACCATGAGTATGTATTGATATCTCAGATTCCAGTCCAACACCACTGGATTCACTTTAGTGTTCCCCATTATTTGTAATTTCTTTCCGCAATAATTATAATCTACATTATATCTACTTATGCATTTAATTCTAGTATATACAGGAGTACCCCACCTTATTCACAGTTTAGCTTTCTATGGTTTTAGTTACCCATGGTCAACCTTGGTCCTAAATATTAAATGGAAAATTCCAGAAATAAACAGTTCCTAAGTTTTAAATTGTATGCTGTTCTGAGGAGCATGATGTGGCACCATGCTGCCCAGCATATCCATGAGAGTTCTGGTCCTGGCAATTAGAATATGCCGAAGAGAAGCCATAAAGTGCCTCTTTAAGTGAAAAGGTGTGTGTGTATAGGAAAGACATGGCATAGATAGAGTTTAATACTCCCTGTGGTTTCAGGCATCCAATGGCAGGGGGGGGGGGGCAAGACTTGTTTTTTTCAAGTCTTGGAACATACCCTCCATGGATAAGGGGTTGTATAAATATTGATTCAGAACTGCTAATCCACAATCCTGTGAGAAACACATTTACTGGCCAGATTACAGGATTTATGTAGTTATTTCTGCCTTTAGCCTTAGAAAATCCAGTCAATACAGTCATATGCCACATATGACATTTCAGTTAATGATGGGTCACGTCTGTGATGATGGTCCCACAAGACTGTAATGGAGCTGACAGATTCCTGTTGCCTAGTGACCTCGCAGCCGCCTACCTTCACAGTGCAATGCATTCCTCACGTGTTTGGGGTGAAGCGGTGTAAACAAACCTACTGCGCGGCCACTCCCGTAAGAGTACAGCAATCTAAAACAAGAAAGAAAAGAAATGACAACATCCACTTTGCTGCCTTAGGGCAAACAGACAAACCATGTCTAGAGGGGACTCCGAGTCAAGTGGGGCTGGGAGACTATAAGCAGCCTAAAGCAAAAAAATTAAAAAAAGTACAGCACATGCAAGCATGGGCGGTGCACAGCACTTGGCAGTGGTAATAAATGCCTGACTGGCTTCCGCACCTCGAGGCTACCCTTCCCACCACCACTGCAGAAGGCACCCTTCCTGCTTGTACGCACAGCTTCCTGGACCAGCGCGGGTGGGTGCGCGGCCGCTGGCGCTGGATTTAATCTCTGATGTTGGTGCAGCGACGCGCGGTGCAGCCTGCGGCCTGAGCACCAGGCAGCCCACGCCGGGCGCGCCCTCCAGGCTGCGCGCGCGCCTCTGGGACGCTCCCCTGCGATGCCATGGCCTGCGGACGCCTTTCCCTCTCGGATCCCGCCATTCGGCGGCGCAGGCCCGTGCAACTCTTCCAAAGAGTTTAGGATTCTCCTTCCTTTCTCACCCTGTTGGTGTGGCCGTTTCCTTCATTTCAAGCAGAGTTGGGATCTTTCGTTAGTGTTCGCATTCCGTTCCGGATTCCCCTCTGCTCGGTTCCAGATGCTTTCATCACTTGCTTTATGGAAAGAGTGACTTCTGCAATGGTGGTGGAAAGGATAGCCTCGTGGTGCGGAAGCCAGTCGGGCATTTATTTCATCACTTGCTTTGGGGGGGGGGGGGGGGGAGGATGGGAAATTATACTGTTTTTTTCAAGTCGGAACTATGCGCAGACAGACTCAGACAGCTGTCCCTGTCCTCTCCTCTCTCCTGCCTGTGCCGTGCCCGCTTCTTCCCACTGCCACCCCCACCGCCCGGAGGAACCAGGCTCTGGATTCTGGTTCATCCTCCCTGCACTTCCTGCCCCAGGTGCATCCTCTTACACCCGCCTCCTTCCTTTACAGGAAAGGTAGCCCCCAGAGATGTGCTCCTTTGCACCTCACTTTTTTCTACCTAACAGTAAGAACATACTTTTTAAAAGTATGAAACACTACATGGCATATGAAGGAATCCACCAAAAAGTTTCCCCGCAAAGAAGGCGCGTGCGACGCGCGCCCGCGAGGCCGCGGCCAGAGCCGGGTCTCCGCCCTGCGCCCCAGGACCCAGCAGACGTCCAGGTTATTTCAACGCTGGGAAAGAGGACAGGCGGGACGGCCCCGATTATCTGACCCATTAGACGGCTGGAACGGAAACTGGTCGGCCGGCGGCGGGCTGCCCCGCCCTCCGTGGCGCCCTGGAACCGGCAGGAAGCGCCGCCGCGCACCCACGCGGAGGACAGCAGCGCCGCGGCCGGGTCTGCCGCCAGAGCCTCCCGTGAAGAACATGCAGGTGGTCAGACTCAGCCAGCAACCGCCCCCACCCCCCCGCGATGAAGGTGGTGCAGAAAAGCAGGCGGCGGTAGGTGAAGAAGGCGACGCTGAGGACGAGGCTGCACCGAGCTGCGCACGGAAAGGAGGCGGAGGAAACGAGCCCCGACTAGACCCGAGTCCTGCGGAACCCACGCGAGGAGACGCAGGGGAGCTGCCTGCCTTTCGGCCTGGCTGTTCGGGGCCTGCCTGCAGCGTTTCGCTGGCAATGCAGCCTTCTCAGCCGGCGAGCGGCCGCATCACCCCCACGCCCGCGCGAGTGCGCAGTGTCTCCCGCAGAAGGGGGCGTCGGCTGGCGGGCGGATAAGGGACGGGTAGATGGAGTAAGAATAATCTTTGAGCCCTAACTGGTTTGGCTCAGTGGATAGAGCGTCGGCCTGCGGACTCAAGAGTCCCAGGTTCGATTCTGGCCAAGGGCATGTACCTTGGTTGCGGGTACATCCCCAGTGGGGGTGTGCAGGAGGCATCTGAATCGATGTTTCTCTCTATCCCTCTCCCTTCCTCTCTGTAAAAAGTCAATAAAATGTACTTTTAAAAAAAGAATAATCTTTGAGCTCTTTGAGCCCCAGCCGGTTTAGCTCAGTGGATAGAGCCTCGGTCTGCGGACGGAAGGGCCCCGGGTTCAATTCTGGTCAAGGCACATTCCCGGGTTGCAGGCTCAGCCCCCAGTAGGGGCGTGCAGGAGGCAGCCGATCCATTTCTCTCTCATCATTGATGTTTCTCCCTCTCCCTCTCTGAAATCAGTAAAAAAAAAATATTTTTAAAAAGAATAATCTTTGATTGCACTCTCCCATTGGCTTCGCTGTATCCATATGAACAAGTCAAGTATAAAAAGGGGACTTCGTCCAGATTTTTTCTTCCGATTGAGGTAAGTAACACAAGCACTAATCGGAACCAGGGGGCGCTCTGCCCAAGCCCACCTCCCTTTGTGGAATCCGGCCACCACAGGACAACCAGCCCCTCAGAGGCTGGAGGCTGAGCCGGACCTGGCGGCCCACAGGCGGGGCGGCCCGCAGACAGGCTGCCCGGAGCGGCGCCCGCTCAGCAGACCACCCTCCCGGTCCCTTGCCTCCCAGCACGGGAGGAGCGTGACGGGAGGAGCGTGACGGGGGCCAGCTTTGAAGGGGAACTGATGCGATCCATGAGGTCCTCTCCCGGGACCAGCGCCCGCTCCCTCTCACATTTACGGGGCACAACACTTGCTGCACCTGATCGTGAATCTTCCAGAAGCCCCTGGGGAGATGTCCTTTCTGAGAAGAAGCTGGAGGCTTTGCTGCCACGTGGACTCTCAGGTTTTCGGTGAGCACCGGTGGCTTCCGCCCAGGGCCCGCCTGTTGTCGCTGCCTGGGAGGCACCTGCCAGCCCGGGGGCCCCGGGGCCACTTGGTCACGTTTGGGTGGCTCCGGAAGAACAGCCACTGCCTGGCTTTGCGCTCCCGGTCCCCAGGGCAGAGCTGGGGAGATGGTGGAGAGGCGATGCCCACCCCGGGGGCCTCTGGCAGGGCGGGCCCAGTTATCCGAGTTGTTACCTACCCTCGCTACCTCTGTTAAGGAGCACTTCCTGGGTGCCTGACCACCTCCAACCTCTGACCCTCGCCACTGGACACTCCACCTGCGGCGGGAGAGGAGGGGCCGTGTTCCCGGTGAGCCGTCCCTACCTTGTGCGCAGCTTAGGCTGTTTCAGTAGACGTTGGAGTGTTAGCAATAGCCACATTTTTTAGTTGTTAGCACTAAGCAAAGTTGTTTTTGCAAACTGTTTCATTCGTATAATGAGAATGAGCAACTCTGCCCAACAAATTTTATTTGGGCTTGGAAACTGCAAAATATTCCCAAAATATTTTAGAGGGAATTGATATTGACGGCAAAAGAAAATTTGCAGCTATACATTTGCTTGTTACAGTTCCTTTTCCGTAGAATCTTATTTTTGATGATCTAAAAAAAGCATTGTCAGACTTGTTTGATATTTTATAGCTGTATTTTATTGTGTAATATTATGGTTCCCATTCTGTAAAATGTTATATTTTTGATGTTCTAAATAAAGCAGAATCCATCTTGTTGGGAAAAAAGAATCACATGAAAATGATTACTTAACATGAATTGAATTCTAACATAACATTTTTTCTTTTTTATTTGCTAATCACATCCCTCAGTCACTTTATTCTGGGAGGAGAGGGGCGGGCAAGGCAGGAACACAGGATTTTTTCTTCTGATGGGAATTTCAGTTCTAAAAAAGACCAGTTACTAAGCAATAGTATCTAGTTTTTTATTTTTTATTTTAAAAAAATCTTTATTGTTGAGAGTATTACAGGTTCCCCCCCCCCTCCCCCCCTGCCATTGACTGCTTTAGCCCACTTCCATCCCCCACCCCAGGCCTTCACCATACTATTGTCGGTCTCCATAGATTATGCGTAGATCTTTGGTTAATCTCTTCATACCCCCCTCACCACTTCCCTCTGAGATTCCTCCATCTGTTCCATGTTTCCATGCCTCTGATTTTATTTTATTCATCAGTTTATTTTGCTCATTAGATGACTTGTTCATTTATTTTGATTTTTAGATTCAATTGCTCATAGGTATATTACCATTTTATTGTGTTTTTTTTTCTTCTTCTTCTTCTTCCTCTTTCTCTTCTTAAAGAATATTCTTCAGCATTTCATATAATACTGGTTTGGTGGTGATGAACTCCTTTAGTTTTTTCTTATCTGTGAAGCTCTTTATCTGACCTTCAATTCTAAATGATAGCTTAGCTGGGTAGAGTAATCTTGGTTGTAGGTCCTTGCTTTTCATCACTTAGACTATTTCTTGCCACTCCCTTCTGGCCTGCAAAGTTTCTGTTGAGAAATCAGCTGTCAGTCATATAGGCACTTCATTGTAGATAACTAACTGCTTTTCTCTTGATGCTTTTAAGATTCTCTCCTTATCTTTAATTTCTGGCATTTCAATTGTGATGTGTCTTGGTGTGGGCTTCTTTGGGTTCCTCTAGTTTAGGACTCTCTGTACTTCCTAGATTTTTAAGTTTATTTCTTTCACCAGGTAGGGGAAGTTTTCTGGCATTATTCCTTCAAATAGGTTTTCAATATCTTGCTGTTTCTCTTTGCCTTCTGGTACCCCCATAATTCGGATGTTGGTATGCTTGAAGTTGTCCAGAGGCTCCATACACTATCTTCATATTTTTTGGATTCTTTTTCTTTTTGCTCTTCTGATTGGGTGTTTTTTGATTCCTCATATTCCACATCATTGATTTGATTCTCAGAATCCTCTACTCTACAGTTGAATCCCTGTAAATTATTCTATATTTCAGTTAGTGTATGCTTAATTTCTGACTAGTCCTTTTTATGTCATTACAATCTCACTAACATCCTTGAACGTCTCACTGAGTCCCTTAAAGCTCTCATTAAGTCCCTTGAAGCTCTCATTAAGATACTTGAGTAACATTATAAACATTGTTTTGAACTCTGTATCTGGTAGTTTGCTTGCTTCCATTTCTTTCATTGTGACCTGTTTCTTTGTCTCTGCATTATGGCTACTTCCCTGTGCTTGTTTCTATGTATTATGTAGAGCTGCTATGTCTCCTGGAATTGGTAGAGTGGCCTTATGTATTAGGTGTCCTGAAGGGCCCAGTGGTTCAACCTCCCTCGTCACCTGAGCTGGGCACTCTAGGTGCACCCTGTGTGGGCTGTGTGCACAGCCTTGTTGTAGTTGAGGCTTATTGCCATTGGCAGCACTGGGAGGAATTGACCTCCAGGCCAGCTGGCTGTGAGGACCAGCTACATCTACAATGGAAGAACTGCTATGCAGGAGACACCCCTATGGAGCAGGGCTTGCTTCAGTAGGGCTTTGGTGCTCACTGATTCTGCCCCCTGAGTGTGTCACTTGTGGATGTGTAGAGTTGTAATCTGATACAGTCTGAAGCTGGCCACCGGGTGTACTGGCTCTGGGGCTTCCCAGGAGGTAGAGAGTCAGCCACTCTCTGGGGCCACCTGGCAGGAGCTACAGAGAGATCTGCAGATGGCTGCTACTTGTATTGGTCTAGGAAGTGCCCAGGTGAGGCCCAGCTATTTTCCTTTTTTAAAATAGAAAATGCCATGCACAAAAACAGCCTAACTGATTTGGCTCAGTAAGCAAGGCAGGCTGGTGCTAGTACTGGGTCTTGGGCCTTTTATTGAGAGGTTTGGGACACACTGACGCCAGCTGCTGCTTATTTGAGACATTTTAGCAAAGTCTGAAGCCTGAGCCAGGACAGGCCATTCATATGGAAAAGCTGCTGCAAACATCTTGGGTGGGACTGAAAATTGAATGGGGCAGAGTCTCAGGGAATCACCAGGATGGAGTGAACAGTATGGGCCATGCTGATGGAAACTCAGATATGACTGCCAGTGAGCTCTGCAATAGGGAATGTCTTAGCACAGAAACAGTTATTCCAAGTTCTTGCAATGATGCCAAACAACCCTCTCCATATGTCCAAAGCTGCCACCCAGTGCTGGAGCTCAGAGGAAGCAGACCATGTAAGTTCGTTCACAGGCCCTTTAAGAGGAACACCTGAGACTCCAGCAGCTTCCGTGTCACTCAGCCACAATCCCCACTGGTTTTTACAGTCCAAAGTTACAAGGACTTCTCTTCCCAGCTCTGGAACCTTGGCTGGGGGTCTGGTGTGGGGCTAGGACCCCCTGCTTCTCACGGGAGACCTTGGAGATATCCCTCCCAGGATATATGGTACATGTAGTGTTGGACCAGCCCTTTCCATGCCTCCTTGCCTCCCACCAGTCTCAATGTGCTATCTTCCTTACTTCTCTAGTTGGTGGGCTTCCATTCAGCCAGATTTCAGGTGGCTCTTAATGATGATTGTTCTGTATTTTAGTTGTAATTTTGATGTGGTTGTGGGAAGGGGTGATATCACTGTTTACCTAAGCTGCCATCTTGGTTCCTCAAAATTTTTTCTTTACAACACTTAATAAAGCATTTGGAAGACTGTAAAACAGAATCACCAGAGTTCTGGGATAAGATGGCAGAGCAAAACAGGAACTTACATATCTCAGGAGTAAAATAGAAGAATAAAGGTAAAATAAGCCATTTTAGAAATGAAGGCTAAACTACAAGGAACCACAGTAAGTGCCTATGAATAGAAAAGAATAGAAAGAAAAGGAAAGGGAAGGGAAGGGAAGGGAAGGGGAGGGGAGGGGAGGGGAGGGGAGAGGAGGGGAGGGGAGGGGAGGGGAGGGAAGGGAAGGGGAGGGAAGGGGAGGGGAGGGGAGGGGAGGGAAGGGAAGGGGAGGGAAGGGGAGGGAAGGGAAAGAAAAAAGAAAAGAAAAGAAAAGGAATCACATT